CCCCACTCCCCCACATCATGTCGCCTGCCTGGATCTGTTATTATCTCACTCTGAAGAACGGAGGAGCGTCACAGGTAAGCTCGTTTCAACTGTTTTTTATGACGCGGTCTCATTTCCGGGCTCAGCATTTTGTGAATGAAGCCGATATTTCAGTTAAAATACACAAGTAAAAATATTTATCCAAGTATAGTACTACCCCCCAACTTTATGGATGATTTAATGGATTCAATTTTACGTATTATACTTGAATAAATACGGTATTTGTATTTCATGAATTATATTATTACATTTGACTGCAGCCCTCAGATAGATTTTTATTTTGGGGAAAATGTTTGGGCTCCCTTGATATATGTATATAAACTGAAACAGCTAGACTGTTGCATCCTAAATTTAACACAAATTAATTATTTTATTACAATATAGTAATTTCTGCATTTTTCAGGGAGGTCACCTCCTAATAAATGTCATTACAGAAAATACAACTGCTCATTTTAAATCAATACTTTTACTTTTAATACTTAAGTACCAAAAAATAGCAGATACTTTACTGCTTTCACTTTACTAATAATCCCAAAGGAGACTTTAACTTTTACCAAAGTCATTTTTTTGGTAAGATACTTGTACTTTTACTCAAGTATCACTTTGTGGAACTTTATACAACACTGGAAAAAGGGTAAATTGTTAGTTGTAGTTTTACAGACTTGCGGGTGTTTGTTATCAAGCAACCAGTAAGCCAATGGGACAACTTTTAAAAATCAAAGCCTATTTTTGTTTGCATTATTGTTTATCATTAGCATGGTTTCAAAACCTGGACAATGGGACATTAAAAAAACGACAAATACAAATACTTACAGTCTGGTTTGTACAATCCGGAAATGTTGCCTTACATAAACAAGTACGTCCCTGAAAGACCTCGAATACTAACTGACCTGAAACCCTGGTTGTTAAATTAGCAAGTACATACCGCTGGTTCACACATGGTGTAGAAAACTCAGCGAGCAGACGGAAGTTAGCAAAATAAGGCAACATTCCTTGGCCCTGGAAAAAACAAGGTAAGCACAAGAAGACAAGAAAACATGAAAGGGACAAAATACGAGACATGGAGTCTTTTGGATCAGTAGGCATGAAGCTGATGCGTGACCTCCTCCATAACAACACCATTTTTAGTAGAAACCTAGAAAGGCAGTAAGTTCATCACTAGATTTAAGCAAAACACAAGCATACAAGATTTAAAAAAATGGGGCAATTCATCCAGTGCATGTAAAATCCACATCCACAGTCCTAATCAAATATAGATCCATTTGGAAGATCTAACAATAGTCCTTCCCTCAGGACATAAGACCATTCCTCCAGTTTCACAGGCCAAAATTAGACTGCCATCATTAATTTTCCCTCATAGCCRCTCCTCTTCATTTAGTGTGAACAGAGAAAGTCCCTCGCACACTACAAAAATGCTATTGTTAATTGAAAACTATACAATGGACCAAATCTTCTTTAAGAACAAAAAAATGTTTAGGATTCATCCATGGAAGGATAATTATCTACAGTAATTTACTGATTTACTGGAAATATGGATAGCTGGTACTAGAATTTTCTAATATCACAGTAAATCAGCAGCAAAAACTGATTGTGTAACTTTTGAAAACCCGATAACATAAAAGGGCAACATTCAAAAGCACCCTTAAAACAAAAATGCTTGTAGAAAATTCAGCATTTTTGCACACACTCTCCAGCCACTGTATCAGGTACACCTGCTCAGTTTTCTGTCAACGCAAACAGCTAATCAGCCAATCAGCCAATCACATGGCAGCAACTCAATGCGTTTAGACGTCTGGATGTAGTGAAAACAGTTTGCTGAAGTTTAAACTAAGAACCAGAATAGTGTAGAAAGGGAATTGAAGCAGCGTTGAGCGTGGTGTGGTTGTTGGTGCCAGATGGGCAGCTCTAGTTCAGAAACCAATCTACTGAGATTTCACACGACCATCTCTAAGGTTTACAGAGACTCATCAGACCAGGCGATCTTTTTCCAACCTCTCATTTTGCTTCAGTTTCCTGTGCTCAGCTGACAGAAGTGACACCTGGTGTGGTCTTCTGTTGCTGCAGCTCACCTTCAAGGTTGGACGTGTGTGTTCAGAGATGGTATTCTGCAGACATTAGTTGTCATTAGAGCCCATTCTCCTTAAAACTCATCAGCATWTTTTTCAATAGTATTGCAGGTCAAAATATATGTTTTTCTTGCAGACCAGTCGGTAAACCCTAGAAATATTTGTGCAAGAAAATCCCGGTGTATCAGCAGGTTCTAAAACATTTAGACCAGGGGTATGCAATCCTGGTCATGGAGTACCACTATCCTGCATGCTTTACTTGCATCTCTGCTCCTTTATACTGTACCTGATTCAGTGACTGAACTACCTCTTCCAAGTTCTGCAGAAGTTTAGTAATCACTCAAATTAGGTGTGTGGAGCAGAGAAACAAGTTAAACATGCAGGATAGTGGCGCTCGAGGACCAGGATCACCCACTCCTGATTTAAACCAACAACCATGAGCTGGTATAGCCACTTCAACCCCTCCAGGTCTGATGCACTGGTTTAAACTTCAGCAAGTTGTTTTTGCTATGTGATTAGCCATTTGTGTTAACAATACGGGTGTAACAATACATCAATACACATTGATATATTAATTAAATTACTGATTCACTTACATTGTTCCAAAATGAAAACAATCGATCCATATCGTCATCACAGGCCGAATGTGGGTCTATATCATATGCCCATCTAGCACAATCATTTATGTTAAATCGCAGACTTGTGAAATCAAAATCATATCGTGATCAAAGATATCGTATTGTCCCCCATGCAAATTGATATAATCCCATATTGTGATAAATCTGGTGATTTACACCCCTAGTTAACCAAGTGAACAGGTGTGCCTAATAAAGTGGCCAGTGAGTGTATAATCAGATAATGATCAACACTTCATCCCTACAAGGAAACAATGTGCAAACATTTTGTGTTTAACCTATTTAAAAATGAGACACATACTGTAACATACAATGGGATTTGCCTGAACACCAACAAATACGGAGCACATTTTAACTGAGCACACAATACATGTGTTATACAAAAATACAAACAGTCAGCCAGCCACTAGTTCAGGGAGCAATCAGAAGCCATGCAGAGTAATGAGCATTACGTAACAGGCCAAACTTGCTTTTGTTAAGATTGGGTCCTGAATTTCACTTTAATCTGAGTAAGAGTTTAACTCCTGCTTTTAGATGATGGCAAAAAATAAAATAAATAAATAAAAAGTTGAACCACCCAAACGCTTCAGCTGGCAAAATCGGTACATTTTGAAGTACTCAAGCTAAAACTATGGTATTAAAACTGCACCATCAGCTAAATAAGTTTTAATTAAATGCAATCAAAAAAGTGCATTGATTAGATAGTGTTATGAGTATGAGTCCTTTCAAAATCAATATTTGTGTTCCTGAGTGCCAATTCTCCAGTCAACATCTGAATGAAAATGAAAATAAATAAATAAATAAATAAATAAATTAAATAAATAAATAAATAGATAGATAGATACACACGTATATGCAGTATATAAAACACCCACAAAAAAAATACAAAAATGGTTATTTGGCAAGCAGCGGTAGAACACTTACCATCATGGCTGAAACAGAAGTTGGTCATTGAAACATACTTACTATGTCCTACAAAACATCTGCACTGCAGTTTATGCACCATGTCATGTCAGTCACCTAGCATGAGCATGCTAGTACCTCTAGGAACTGGTAAGTCCATACTGTGACTGGGCATCATATCTGCTCAGTACAACACAACAGCAATAACAGCAGACAAGACGAGAGTAAAGAAGTCCCCATCTAGATCAAGTCCCGCTCCGTGTTCCCGGAAGGATCAGCAAACTCCTGGTAGTTTTTGCATGAACAGGGATGACACAACCCGACTTTGGTTTTTGGTAGTTTTTGCATGTAGGATTTGAAGAGGGGCTGCTCATGTTAGAGTCAGCGAAGGACAAACAGACACACACGTATATATTAGAAGAAAAAAAAAAGAAAGAAAGCCACAACAAGTTGGAAGCAAATAAGAAATTAGAACACTGAAGAAAAAAAAAAAGCATGCACCTAATATTCGATTTACTCGACAGCTAAAACACAAAATAGACAAAAATAAGATGCTATTAAATAAATTAGAAATGGCTTAAACAGTGTCTGATCAAGCCGTTTGGGACTGACTAATTAATAATAATAATAATAATAATAATAATAATAATAATAATAATAATAGACATCAACAAAATCATGAAATATGCTTAATTTGCAATCGAGTTATACAGATTTACAACCTTTACTTGAATGTCATTATTAGGCCTTATTATTTGTATGACTGCTGGTTTAATATCTTTATTTTTAACATAAACACTGAAACATAAACACACTCAACATAAGAACTAACACAACCTCAACAACATGAGACAAATCTGACTTGATACAAAACTAAATGAAATTAATACGACATCAACGATTAGCCAATTGGGCTGTATTTATTTTACAAGTAATGCAATAATGTAGTTTCAAAGGTCTCATCGGTTGTTCTTTATAAATGACTCGAAGGAAACAGTCATGAGTGTCCAGTAACAGTATGGCCTGCTAGATTTCAGTACCTCAATGTTTTGTTGCTTTGACTTTTGATTTTAATGTTAGCTATAATTCTTGAAAAATACTCAAGATTAAGATTGTTTTAAATGATAGAAATGTGGGGGCAGAGCACTGCACCCTGCATTTTACAACAAAAAAAAACATTTCCTGAGTCAAAACAAACTGAACTGATTGTGGTACTTGTAAAAAAAAAGGCCTGATTGTTTCACAGAGATGTAAGAGGCAGACTCTGGCACAAAAGACAGAGAAGAGTAAGGTACTGTAGGTAAGCAAGTGAGTATGAAAGTTAAAAAAGTGGTTGTTGGCATGCAGGATCCCTGCCTGCATGTAATGCTGCAGAGCTATAAGCATGCACACAGTGGTTACAGTTCAGCCTGCAGCTGTGCTTAGCTCAGAAACGCTCAGCCGACATCAGAGATGTACGACAATCAAAGTGGGGGTCAGTAAAAAAAACCCAAAAAAAAAAAAAAAACAGAAAGCACAGAAACTGTCAGGGTAAAGGTGAGAGGGGAGGGGAAGGGTCATCAGCCAGTACCATCAAGAAGCATTCCATGCAAAAATTACCGTTCATTTCTTGTATTTATGCAACAGATCCTGTTGACCCAGAGGGTAACAGATCRAACCAAGAGTGAACAGCGCTGCCCACGAATGCTGGATAGGCTCAACTACTGTCTTGTTGGAAACTCAGCATCTTTTGGAAAACCTTTGTTCTTGCAATCACATGGATGTTACACTGACGTTTGCTTCCTATTTGAAGTGCTCTTCTAGTTTTCCAAACCATATCGCATCTTTGGGATGCAATCTCTCAATGTACAAGACCAAAAAACCAGTAATAACCCAACAATAAGAGTATAAGGATTCCCCTAAATAGTCCTCAATCGTCCAGAGCTATCCGTTTTTGTGACAAAACAATGACCCAACTTGGTGAGGAAATGGTCATTTTGGCATCACTGATTGGTGCAGGTTTTTCCTTCAATCAATCCATCCATCCAATTTTTTTTACCCCTAGAGCAGTCGTGTCCAAAGTCAGTCCTCAAAGGCCGGTGTCCTGCATGTTTTAGGTGCTGCCCTGGTTCAACACAGCTGAACATTAGCAGTGCTTGGGACAATATTTATTTTTACATATCACAACATCAACAATTTTCTCAGATTTTATTTAAACCATAGTTTACACAAATAGGATAGGAAATAAGGACGCTATGAACATTTATGTGAGAGATTGATGCTAATCCTTTGGCTTTGTTTACATGACTCTGTGAATAGTAAAGGCTCGTACGAAGGCCTAGCTTTAGCGGCTAATAGACGACGTTAAAACCAATAACAATAACCAAGTCGGTCTAAAAGTTCAGCTACTTTTTGCACTTAAACTTTCATTCTGATGCTTGAATCAAAAGATTGATGAAAACAAGATCAGAATAATGCACTTACCATGCTGGGCATTCACAAAAAGCCTGAAGGATTTCACCATTTTCAATCAGCGCAATGAACACTCCATAGTTCTGTTGCTTCATGCTTGCTTTGACTTAAGCATGTATGACAACAGTGCCAGCACAAACACCATCGCCAGCAATGCCACAAACGCCAACAATCTGAATGTGTCCATCTTTTGAAAACGCGATGGCTCTCGCCGAATTCAACATCCGTGTTTCGGCGATTGTCTTTTTTGACACAGTGGCCTCACAATGACGTCCTCTCGAATCCGCGGCACAGTTTTCAGGGATTTTGTCCATGGTTGTCCACAATTTTCCGAAACCATGCATCGACTTGCCAACAACTCGCCATCATCACAAAGCTCTTTCCCCCTCACTTCCGTTTTTGAAAGAAGCCGGCATTTCGCCGTCAAACGTTAATTTCATGTGTGCTTTGCGTGATGACGTCATTTGGCAAAAGGTCTATTAGTAGGCCTCTTCAGTATGCCATCAAGGTCTGCAGAAGCCTACTAAGTAGGCACTCCTTAGGTTCAGCTGTTTTGAACCAGGGCAGCACCTAAAACTTGCAGGACACTGGCATTTGAGGTCTGACTTTTGGACACTACTGTCCTAGAATGTGTTCTGGGCTAGAGGTGACCAGTCCATCACAACGTCTCAACACTATTTGGGGATAATTTTAGTTTTTTTACTTCCCAACAGAACATTTATCCGAATGCCAACTGGGCAGCCAAAAACAGAGAGATTGCACTGACTCAGATAGACAAACATACAGCGATCAATACCACTCGCCTTCCTGTAAAACAGCATCCCTCTAAAGCTTTTATACTAAAAGCAATCAATGAAGTGAAATTAATCATCTCTGACATATATCCAGGGTTCATTACCTCTGCTCTSATTTTTATCTTGCATGTTTTCATCTAACCCACAATATATGAGACTCGTGGCAGAATGGGGACTTCCATAGACWATCTACAGTGACTAAATTAGTTCAAACTCAGACTGAAGGAGGACTAAGCTGTTCACCCTTGGTTGTCACCTTCCCATCTTGCCTGCACGTTCTGCTATTGGACAATAGGGCACTCACCAGTACATAGTAGTAAGCATACAGTGCTGCCAGATGGTGAACTACAAAAAACTTGTCCCCTATYGCCTTCCAATAGTAAAATATAAGCAGCAGATCTGGAAAACAGACACATAGGAGAGAAAACATCAAATTGTGATTAGTTTAAAGTAGCTACAGTTTAATTGGTAAAAATTGCATGGCACAACAATATTTTATTTGACTTCTACAATTTATTAGCTTAAACTATAAGTTTGTCTTACCAGATATGAGGTAGCCTGTTGTGATTGCAACATTAGTCTTCACCAGTGTAGGATCTCCCCTATAAAAATATCCAAACAAAACTGAAATCAACTATTTGATCAGACTGTCGCAATTTCTAGCACCCTATATGCTGTGGCAGTTAGGTGGTAAGAATAACAGTCAGATTTTTAATAAACATAATAAAATAGATTTTAAAACATCTAAAAATCATTTAAAGTCACATTAAATGTAGTATATCAAGTTTTTTTTCTAAAAGTCAAGGTTTAAAATAACGTGAATTTAAACTGTACTAAATGTAAATAACTTTAGGCAAAGAGCTAGCAGACTTTAGCAGCTAAAACTAGCTAACCAAACTATGTTAACTAAAAGCTTGCTGTCAGAAAAATAATGTGTGCTCGCAGTTGCACAAACTAAAAAAATTAAAAAATGACACATGTTGAAACGTCAGTGCTCCTGATAAGAAAATAATTGACAGCACTGATAAGATGCTAAAGTATCTCACTATCTAAATTTTGTAAGATAGCTTATCACCTCTACATTTACAGTTTACTAAATTTAAAAATAATTTCAAAATCGCTTTCAACACAAACTAAGCATAATATGCCTCTCTTTCACATGGAATCATGTGGTCCTAATGGTGGTTGACAAGAGGGGTTTGTCTGATGTTTCTCTATTTTCAGCAAGTGCCCTTGGAATTTAATAATAAATGGGAACACACAGACCACGGTTTGTACTTTTTCATTGCTGTAAAAATCTTGAGTGTTGTAAATTGACCGAATGATACAATGTCTCTCTTTATTACCAAAAAAGTCTGCAGATCCAACCAATGTAATAATTTGTGAAAGATCCATGAAGTTATGTACTTTAATGTTGATTGGTAGACAGACACACTAAAGTCCCAATTACAACTTAGACAATCTTAGCCTCAACTTCTAAATCCAATTAGGCTGACTTGAGCATCAAAAGTGGTGATAGCTGCAAAAAAGTACTTTTTATTGTTGACACTGTTGGTTTGTATCACATTAGTTGCACACTTGCACTTAGTGCTAAGATATTTCTAAAGGGAAACATACTGTATTTAAATGAACAGAATGCAAAAGAGACCTTCCGATTACTAAAAACATCTGTTAGCATATCTGAGACCAATGGTGGGCAGCACTAATCTAAAATATAGTTCCACTAGCCCTAAAACACTAACTCAAATATCCTGATGCATCTCAGTAATCCAGGTAAAAAATCAAAAAGAAAAAAATTGTATAGGTCTT